ATGGACATTAACCACTTCCTTCCCAGAACATTGCCATGACTTAGCTGACTTCTCTGCTTTGCAGATATGCAAAAAAAAAAAAGATTAAAATGAAGAGTTACAAACCCAAGAGTAAAATTGTTCAAGGACAGAGTTCTGGAAAAAAATGTTTCCATAAAAAGCCTCACCTTTTTGCTATTTAACTTTTTTAACTTTATAAAGCCATTAAAGGGCTGCTCCTTTTTTTGCTTGTTTGTTTGTTTTTGCTTGTTGGCTTTTTTGGTTGGTTGGTTGGTTTTTTTTTAGTATTGCCTTATGCTTGTTAGGTCAGTTTTGTTGATATTCATGTATCCATGTAATCATTCCAAGGGCCCAAGATAAGTAATAATAAGTAATGCTGTAAATAACATGATAGCATCTCATTATCTAAGGCATACATGGAAAATTATTATGGATAACAAAATATTTTAGGGGGGAATTAGCTAAGCAAATACATGAAGAATGAGGCAATACACAGTGCATAACCCATTAGCTTAATTCCTATCTGTAAAAAAAGCAACCATAAACTGAGTAAGCTTGGATAGAAAGTTTCTTTCCCTTGTAAAGTTTCATTGCTTTCTAAGGAAGTGATCTTTAATGGGTCATTTATTTCATAAGCTGTCTGCAATAGAGTTTTCTCCCCTTCCTTTGAAATCACTAGATGTAGTCATGGTGAGAGACAGAGAGCTGGACCTGATTTTTTTTTACACTGACTTTGGTTGGGCTTAGGAGGGAGTATGTTGCTTGGAAATAAAATCCAGTAGTACTGAACTTTTAACACAAATTTGGAGCACATTTGTATCACTGAATTAATTCCTGCCGTCTCTGGACATTTGTTTGTTGTCTTGTAAAGATCTTCTCTCAAAGAGCAGTTAACTATTCTTAATGTCTGCAAATCTCCCTCCTTGAAAGAAGTGCTGCAATTGTTAACTGATGAGCGCCTGAAAAGGGAAAAAAAAAGTGATAACCTAATTATTGTGCATGTAAGAGTAATTTAGGTGGCAACTCTGCTTCTCTGATCTAAGCTCCATAGTTCTCTGATACATAAATATTGGCTTACTCATTTTCTAGTTGAGAAATAAAGGAAGAGGGAGGTTGCATTCTTTGTCCCATGTAATATAACGAGTTCTTGACAGGGATGAGAATGGAGAACTCAGATTTGCCTATGCAGTCTACAGCCCTTGCTGCTTTCCTGAACATACTCTCCCAAAGGCTGAGTCCTATGAATGTACCCTAATAAATGGCTAATAAATGGTTGCAAAATTCACTGAAGTTGGTGGACTTGCAGTCCTTTGGAAAAAGAGTGCTCTTCCATTCAAGGAGAGCTGGAATAGTAGATGATACTGTCCAAAATCATAGGAGAAAAGGAAAAATAATGTAGCCCGTATATAATGGCTAATAGGAAATAAAAACACAATACCCCAATGTAAAGGGGATTTTTAGAGGACTGCCACCTTGGCCATGCACCTTCATTTTTTTTCTTAAGAAATGGTATAATGAATTAAAATTTAACACAGTTTCATGAAAAAAATTCACCTGGGAGATATGGCTCATTATGATATTACAAGGATTTTGAGTAAAATACCTTTGGATAAATAAAATTCAACTGTATTTAGAGCATGATGAATGAAGTCGCTTGTTTTCAGCTCAGTATCTGGAGGTGGGGATTGGCTGCACAAGGGTGAGAGCAAGAGATTCACTATATTAAGGAAACACATTTTCCAGGTACATTACTTTTACAAGTGTCATGACAACTAAACAGAGACACTAAACAGTGAGCCTTTATTCACAGCCATCACCACACCAAACACTGGCTGGGCACAGTCTGTGCTCTGCAGTACCACTTATTTTAGGATAAACTGATTGCCTTTCCTCATCCTCTGTAACTGCTTTTGGGAACAATAAATAAGTGTGAATGTGTAATTTTACTTATAATGAACCGTGTTCTCTAAGTCACGGTAAAAATACAATTTAATATAAATATTGAATACTACTCTAAAGCATGTTAATACAAAAGTTTGGTTGATTCAATGTTGGTTGAAACAACATGACAGGATAGTGATGCAGTATGCCCAGAAATATCCCATAAATGTCAATAGTAGAATTAGCAACCTGTGCTCAAGTATTTAAAAATATCACAGTTGTAAAGGTTAAGGGGAAGAAATCTTTTGGGCTTTATGTTGTCCTCCAATCCATATTCTGATAGGCAACACAGTGTCATGCTGCTGCTTAGTCAACACTGGTCTCTGCCTGAACTACTGATCTTGCAGAATTAAAACAGTCTGTGACCTCACCTCAGAATACTTTTGCTCATCTGAAAATGTATATCTAGAATTAAGAAAGAGAAATAAACCCTAAGTGACATCATCCTTGCTTTACCTAATATTTTGTGCTAGTGCGTAATAATTAATGATTACGAAGGGGCAAAAGAAAACCAACCCATGCCTTGGCAAGTGAAGTGCTGTAATGGCAAACTTCCTGAGTAACCTTGGCTGCCCCAGTGCATTCCAGGCAAGATAAACTGCATCAGAGACAGCAAGGCATCAGGTTTTACTGGCACAATGTGCTACAAGGCCTGCACTTTGAACTGCATCCAGTGATGCCTTAAGTTTTAGCTTTTACATGCTTCAGAGCAGTACTGCTTTAGTGTATAACTCTAAAACTCCGTAGCCTGTCAACTGCTGTTCTCCCATTTTATTCAGAAAAACAGTTTTTCTATAGGCCTAAAACTCAAGGACAACTTACTGTCTCAGGTCCCAAAAAAAAATAAACAAAAAGTGAATTGGGGAGAGCAAACTGGGGCAATGTGATTACATTACCTGAAGATGTAATTGGACAATTAACATCCAATATGCAAATAGACCAAACTTCTATCTGTCTGAAAAACTCGTGATTGTTGTCCACCTTGGGTGTAGCTCTGTGAGACTCCTGCACTGCCCAAGGTGTACCTTGAGAATGCCTTTCAATAAATACCTACCTTTATCCTTGAACTCTGTCTAGCCTCTGTTCTACGTAGCCTCTCCAGGCATCACCAGAAGTGAAGGGGTCATCAAGGTAGCTACCGAGGAACTAGTGAAAATATTCCTACAGTACAACTGTTCTAGCTGAGTGGTGGCCAGATTCAGCTCAAGTTGAAGTTATCTGAAATATATATGGATTTTGGTACACATTACTCAATTTCTACCATTTTCACCAAATTAAGAGTTGGAAGTTTATTTGATTATCAGGTAAACTACCTTGAGGATGAAAAATGCTTCATAAATGACAGTGAGAATTACATGATTTGTGAATAAATAAAATTTAAGATTTTATTTGTGCTCCTGAAACTTGTTTTCAAAGAGCAGAGATAATTACATATTCAGTAGTAGTAGTAGTAGTAGTAGTAGCAGTAGTAGTAGTTCTAGTTCTTCTCCAGTGTTCAAAGTGTTCCACACATTACCATGTCTCACAGCTGCACAGAAAACACAACTCTGCACACCAGAATTTTTATGAGGATGCTATAAGAAACTTTATTCCAGATTATGTTATTACTAATCCCACTGTTAATCTGCAAACCTACCTGGAGTTTCTTTACAGCTACAGTGATGTGATTGATACTAAAATTTGCTCTCTAAGCATTTGTGATGTCTGGTTTGCAATATTGGGTGATGTCTGTATCTTCTGTTTCCAAACTTTGGTTCTGCTCTGTACATGACTTGAATATTTTTTCGCATGTGTGTCAAATGAAATCCAAAGGATGTTTTACTCTGTCTTATTCCAAATTTCATTCAGCATTGACCTCTTTATTTTACTCTTGCAATGATTTGGAAAGAAGTCTTTATCAGCCTTCACCTCTTGACTTTTATTTGATCCTGGTAGGTCTCTCCATTCATCCTGGGACAACTTGCAAACCCCTGGGTGTTGACTCCTCTGCTGTTTCTGCATTCATTGTGAGATGAAATGCACTGTTAGCACTATTAGGTGAAGTGTTTGTGACTGGTTAAACTCTGCATTGTGCAGTGAGGATGAGTGAAATTTAACAAGGCAAGGGAGTGATCTCAAAGTATTTGTGAAAAAATTAATAAGAGGAAGTTTTTTTCAGAACAGATAATTAAAATGTCCTGTTGCCATATATGTATGTGTGTGTGTGTAGATATTGAAAGTAGTTGTCCTATTTTCTTCTTTAAAAATTGGTACTAGATTTTTAAGTTGCACACAAGCATTCAAGGAAATTGATATCTCCAGAAATGTGGAACGTGGTTTTGCAGGTCATGTATTTAGTCATATCTAATAAATATAATTTGAAGTCCGGTGATTACATTTAAATGAGTAATCTTAAAATTTTCTCCTACCATAGCTGACTTCTCACTTCAGATTAAATTATATTTTTAGCATTTCTCTGGTTATCTGGTGCACAGAACATAACCCAGTCTAATGTAACATGATTAATCTAATTAATACAAAAGAGTAAGGAACAGAGATCCAGGTAAGCATCATACAGCTGCTAGGAAAGTGCATTTCTGAAGTGAGAGAAATTCTAGTGAAGTCCATGTACAGTGATTTTGAATCCTGCCACTGGAAACTTGTTCTTGGTTTCTTTATTTGTTCACCATAAATTCTATTTCTTCAAAATGTTTTAAAAGAATGTATTGTGAATATTTAGTTCAGTCACCACCTGTGTTTTAAACTTCTGTCTCCATCCAGCAGTCAAATGCTTATGTCCTAATAACCCAGGAATAAATTTGAAGGTACTTCAAATATTTTTAATTTGAAAGAAAACATGTACTGCAAGATATGAAGTGTTTTTCAACCCATTCCTTTGATAGTCTGATGTGCCATAAATCTTACAGTGTGTTAGCTATAAATGCAACATGCAGTTTGACAGCTGTGTTTGATTTCAGTTCCCTAAATGATTATGGAGGAATAAAGATAATCCATTTAGACAGGAGCAAGAAACTCCAGCCTTTTATTTACCTCACTTTTGAGAATGTAAATTGTGTTTGTTAATGAACAACTAAAGGAAGATCAGCAGAAAACAGGAACCTTTCAACTCTGACAAAATTTTAGACCTCATTAGCAAAATCCTTTCCCACTCCATTAGTCACAGGTAAAATCTCAGGCTGAAAGGGCTCATTTCTCTTGATGAAAAAGGTAGTTTAATTCTGGCTGATATTTATACTCTTCAGTTTTAACTGCAACATTGAAGCTCAGAAACAATGACAAGGTCAATGGTGGTGTGCTTTAACTGTGTACACTCAGTCATGCAATTGTGTGTACATTCTACCAAGACAACTCAGAAACTATTTGCAAAACTTGTTCTTTTAAGACACTTCAGAGGCAATCAGCCCACATGGTGAAGTATTCTATGAAGTCATTTAAAATGTGTTGATCACATTAAATGACATAGAAAGCAAGCATCAGTAGTCTTGTAAGAACATGGGCATCTGACATTCAGAAGCACGTTGCGCAACAACCAACATCAATACTCAGCCCTAGTATGGCTCCAGCTGAAATCAAAGCAAATTGAATGGAAGTGAGATCAGCTACAGAGTTTATTTTATGTAAAATATAAACATGTTAACAGGAGAAAATACTGTTTTCTTATGTTACAACCTTAATAACCAACATGATTTTTATCTTACAGTTCTGCAGGTGGCTCAGGGTTCAATTACATGTACATGATGATTAAAAAGAGCAGATATTTTTCTGTACACATACACCAAGTATTGTACGCTGTACTAGAAATCCAGGATTTGTAAGTGTCCCCAGTTGTGTGCCTCATAATTCTGCTACCTCTTATTCCATTTAAAAAACTAGCACAAAATTTAAGTAGTTGTATTATGATTGCATCATTTTGACAAGGTCGAGAGGGACTATATATTTACAAACAGCTACACATATTCAAAGTGTCTGAAAAAACCAACCGTTTCCATATTTCATCCTCGTCTCTTTCTTCTTCCTGTTACCCTACATTCATATCCATACGGGATGTGGCGGCTTTACTCCTAAAGCATCATTATAAGTTATGGAGCTTGTGTTAGGTCATTTTTAATGAAAGCCACTGAGACTAGGAAATTGTCTCCAGGAAAACCACTGGCACCTGTGGCATGGCTGCCCTGATGTTGCTCTTGCTGTTAGAATGAGAGCTGAGAGAGGACTAGGAATCAATTTAGTATGTGGCCAGAGTCTGGTGTGGGACATTTCAAACATGAACACCATTGCAAATACAAAGCTGAGGTTTAAGCTCAGCCTCTCCAAGGAATGTATACCTATTAATGAGATTCCGGGCAGCAGGGACAGAGGGGTTGCAAATACTCATTAATTATCTACTGTAGCAAGCAATGTGTTTTGGTGAACTGCAAGTTGTCTTCATGAAAGGCTTAGTCCTGCCACTTTGGAATCCTATGAGAAGGGTCAGGATTATCTAGAGGATGGAGGTTAGGGAGCTGCATGTCTGTCCAGCTTCTCCTATAGACCTACTGTGCTATCACAGAAAAGTTACTGACTCTTTCATATTCTTACATACAGTGAAGTTGCCACCTGCCACAGCCTTCATCAGAAGCATTAGGCTGTTAAATTGACTGCTGTGAATGGCACACACAAGTTAATTTATTTTACATAGTACAATAGTCCCAGTCTTGATAACCAAATGAAACAGAATTTATTAAAGAATTATAGCAAGAGATCATGAATAAAGGGAGTTATTTGCAGTTTCATATTAAATCAGTCAGGCAAAGCCAGCAACCAAACCTCCTAGAGGCTTAAGAATCATTAGTATGTAAAATGGTGTGGGTTTAGCCAGATGGTCCCATCAGGTGGGCACATACCTCCTGATAGGTGTTATTTGACCCTGTATGCAAAAGAACTGTGTTATCTGAATAAATCTTGCAGACAGGTTCAAGCAATCTCTTTGAAGTAATGCATATTAACTGAAAAGAAATTAAATGGGTGTCTATCGAGCCTTGCCAAGGGCTATTTACATAGTAAGGGCCACGTTAAATTGAGAAGAAACACCTCAGTATCAGAACAAATGCAACAGGAAAAAGTTCTGGTCTTTTCACTGATCAAAGAAAATACAATATCTAAAGCACTAGGAATAACCCTTGCATTAACAACACAGAAAGTCACTGGCTTTCTGATATAGATACCACAGATGCTGCCCTCTAAAAAATCATCATTTTACACAAGCAGTTATCTTACTTCATTATCTCTTTGCTTTATATTGACTCAAGTGAAGAGAAGAAAGAGACAAAAAATTTGCTCTTCTTGCCAGCACGCACACAGTAGCCAAGAATAATTGTTGTTCATCAGATTATTCACAGTTGAGACCAAACAGAGCACTGATAAAATGGCAAAGAGAGCAATACTTGTATTGTCAGCCGACTCTGTGTCTGGTAAAAGAGAATTCTCCTGTAAGAACTGGAACTTTTCTAAATTCTAGTCATTGATAACCATGTCACAGATTGAAGAGTTGCAGTCATCCTCAGATGGGTCAGCAGGCAGAGAACACAAGAGGCTGTGAAATGTGCAGAGCACAGCTTGTCAGGTACACACTGATGTGTGTAGCAGACACATAGTAAATGCTCTGTCCTTTTTATACATGAACAAATATGTATGAAAATGCTCGGGCTTTCCAGTTTTACAACCCAGCTAGGACTACAAGCCTAAAAATGGAAATCGAGTTTTAACTAGAGATATTGGATCACAAGCAAACAGCTGCAAAAACAGTAAGACAAAGGCAAAATATTAAACTGATTGGAATTTCACAAGATTGACATTGTTGCTTAAAGTGCTTGGGTTGATTACATTTTTTTAAAAAGTACATAAAAATTAAAGCAAAACAAATAATATTAACCACATAAGTTATTATACAAATACAGTAACAGACCAACAAAAGAAAAATAAATTAAAACAAACCCTTCTAAAAGATACTAGCAAAGAACAGGTACACAGCCAAAACTTGCTAAAATTTCTAGTATTCATTCAGCTGTAAGACACTGCTCACAACTATCAGCCACATGCAGCAAAAAAGAGATAAAACAAAAAGGGTCTGCTGTTGAGAGGCACCAAATCACTGGCAGCTGCATCTGTCAGCTCAGGTGCCAACTACATGATGTTGGAACTGAAAAGTGACTGAAATGTAATGTCTGAAGATAAAAGGTTGTGGTAACACTTTAGGACTCATTGTGTAAGGTGAACTTCAGTTGAATTTTGCTAAGTCTTTAATATTTATACTAAACCTAATATGAAGGGAACTCCTACTTCTTTGTTTTCTTTACCCCAACTGCTAAAGGAACAAGACTTTTCATACATAATCTAGCACTCTGAGGTAACTAAATTGTTAAAATATAATTGACAGGAGTAATTTTGGGAGCTAATTTCAAAAAGGTGTTCTGTTTCATTGGTATGGCTTTTCCATCACTCCACTCTTCTGTCTCCCTCTGCTATGTGCTCACATTAGAAATTCCATAAAATCCCGACAGCCTGTTCTTGGAAATACAAACACTGAGTTCTGAGCTCATCCTCTAAGGTAACTGATTCATCAGCACTGCAGTGCTGAGGAAACACAGCACAAGACAAAAATGAGGTTTTTTCTAAGTAGAGAGCATAGTGATAGAGAACACTGTATAAATGGACAGTGCATCTCATCAACAGCATGGGAAATAATTGGAAAACTCCAATTGTTGTTGGACCTAATATATCTAGAACCTGACACCATAAAATATAGTCATTTTAGGGGAGCACAGAATAGTATTAGAGATATGTGCTAGCATTTTGTTTTCTAGCTGCTAGCTGAAAATCTTTTATTGTCTTAGGTATTTTTCCATTCTTTCATAAGGGACAGGAAATTATGCATAAGCATAAGAGAAAAGGGATTATGCTTTATTTAATCAACTGAAATACTTTACACCATATGATTGTTTCTGTGGGGATCCCAGTCCTGCAAAACTTGAGTGAATGTGCTTAATTTGACAAAGAAGAGTTCCTCTGCCTAGACTGGCACTATTCATACAGCTGTGACAGACAGCTTTTGGACTGAAGTCAAGATATTCAGCACACTGGAGACTGGATCCAATTTATAGAATAGTCACCACAACTTTGTTAATCAAAAGAAAATGCTCCCTAGTTTAGCCAGTGTTAATATGAAGTGTGTATTCCACAATGTGAGAATTCAGAGCTGATGTCAGACTACTGATGCTGGACTGGCATGATACTAGTGCTGTGATCTTTCCATAGGCTAGCATGAATTAAAAATGTTTTTCATACTTTATGAAACAGCTTATTCTAGTAATTTTCCTCTCAATAACTTACTGCAATAATCCGTATGCTTTACAATCTAAAGCTGTCTTGCAGTGGAGAAAAACAGAGATTATTATCTGGTAGTTTAACATTTAAATATTAATTCAAACTATTAACATTTTAAAAACCAATTTTCAGATAGGTCTATTGAAATAAGGAAAATGTTTCCTAAAATTTAACTGATTCAAAAATTATTTTTATGAAAAATTACTTTTCATATAAACATGAGCCCTGAAGATTCAAATTATACCTCAAGAATATCTGGGTTTTTTTGAATCTTTTAAAACAAAAGAATGTTCAGTAGTAAACTGCAAAATACAGACCTTTGGACCAGCACTGGTTGATGCTGATCTAGAAAGTGATTTCATTCACAGTGAGGAAACCTTATTCATTTTAAAAGGCCAGTAATTTTTATATTTTTATACAGAAATCCTGAATGTTTATAAAGAAATCAGTTAAAGAGGGATTTGCAGGTTTAGCTTTCTAGTGGAAAAGCTCCCGGGTCTCAGTGAGAGTTGAAGTCTGCTGTAAGATGTCTATCTTCTGTATTAGAGACAGAACATTTCATTCTAACATCAATAAAAGAACAAGAGCTGCATCCTAATTATGCTTGTCTGGAGCCTGCATACCAGCCTTCATTCATGTGAGTGATCTCTGTAGACCACTACTCTCATTCACTTAAGTCCTCTAAGGTTACATTCTACGTCTGCTTTCTTGCATCAGTATAATAACATGATAAATCACAAATAATCTTAGCTGAAAAGTCCACTTCTGTTTCTCATTCAGTGTAAAGTGCTACATAGCCTTAGTTTACAAAATGGCCATTGAAAAATCCAAATGAACTTCAAATGATGTTACAGTAGAAGCTACTTAATTTTCACCAATATTTCACAAAAGATATGTCACATTCACAGTAGAGTACAATGAAAAACACTATCTTTTCTACAGAAGACTAAAATATGAGATGTAGCTGCACTTCAAAAGCCATTTCTTGGAAGGGAGTGTAGGCCATAAAGTGTCAGGCAGGCTTCTTAAAGAAAAGGACAAAAATCAACATTGTCTGATAAATACATAATGAGTGACTAAAATGTAACAGGTAGAAACACATTTTGTGAGATGAGAATATTTCCTTATAAATACTAGAACCAACTGTCAGTCCCCATGAAGACAAGAAGAGTGTTTTTCTGTTGATGTCATTGGAATAGGACTTTGGCTACTGAAGTTCAAGAATTGTATACTGGAGTGAAAGTGTCAAACTTTAGGTACTTACCCAGCATGACCACTGACTCAAGCCACTATCAATCCCTTCTCAAACCCTATTGATACTTTCTTCTACATTTATTCTTTGCCAAATTCAGGTATTCAGGTGAATTCTGCAATTTTATTAGCCAGTGCATGACAAGTGCCAGTCAAATTCATCCAGGAAAATCACAAACTAAGTCTTTTGTACTAATTTTGAAATCAAGCACTCCAGATCTGTTTCTGCGGTGACAAAACTCTGTTAAATATGACCAAAATATTAAGGATGATATATACATGACAGCATGTACTCTAGTGGTTGCTATGTACTATGTTTCTAAGAAATAGACTCTGTCTTGAGACATGAAAATGGGACCTACAGATATTTAGAAAATTGCAGGATCAAGTTGTGTCTTATGTACAGACAATGCTTATTTAAATGGACTGGATAATTTCAGTCCTGATGGATATGTTACATGTGAGCAGTGTTGCAATCTTTGCAAACACAATCCAAGTAAACAATCTATATAATTTTAACAAAAATGTAAGATAAATCTTTATAAAAGCAATTTATCTCTGTGTCATATCTGTGATCTTACTCCCTTTTTTTCCAGTGCTCTGTAAGTCCTGAAATCTCACCTTATCTGTACTATCTCATGACAAAGTGGCTAACATACAGAATTACTTAGTTCCAGTGTATATTAAATCCCTCTACATGAATTTCAGGTCTGTGGTTACACTCTGAAAGTTTTTAACAATCAAAATTGAAATGATTTTGGAAGAATATCTATTATGCAGCAGAGTATCATGTAAAAAAATCCCCTATAGAACCACAACTCAAGTCATCATGAAACTGATTTTTTTCCTTACACTTAAAAGGGGTATATGTCAGGATGTATTTAAAGGAATGCTTTGTAAATCAACACACTCCAAATCCATCTAGAAAGTTTTAAATAATTTTGCCCTAAATGTAATGAACACTTTCATATAAAATACTACTCTAGCTGGATTGGGTTTAACAGTTGACATCCAAATCTTATTATCTGTAAATGTTAGTCCATATAAATTCCACTAAAATCTGACTTCAATTAGCTCTTCAATCAGACTTAAAAGCTACAAACAACTCCCCCTCTCTAAAACAAAGTTCTGAATGTCAAGAATGGACGGTTATAGTCAACATCACATAAACCATTGAACAGGAGACAGTGTATTGTTGTTCAACCATCCGAGGTGTGGGCTGTGTAAAGTCAGTTCAGGGGAGCCGGCACCTTCCTTTGCGTGCAGCATCCTTGTGCGCAGTCACCACAGTTTGCCCAGTCACTCTCTTGACTGATAGAATAAAATATAGCCAGACTCTGAATTTTTTGATATATCAGAGGTCAGACCATAGAATTCTTCAATAGCTTGAGCATCTATTTTCTGCAAAATGAATATTTTTTTAATATGCTGTTAGATAAAACAAATGCTAAACACGGATTAAATGACTGCAATTAGCAAATTCTGTTTGCAATTTAAGCAGTGAAAGGGTAAAGGTTAGGGGCTGAGCCTTGCTGATCTCACTCATGAAATTCATAGGCATGTTTCTGTCACTGAACCTAACTGAATTAGGCTTTTTCCAATAGAGAGAGACTCCTTGGAATGCAGTAATGAACCCTGTTAAAACACATAAACGTGACCATGTGATCCCATCTTTCTCAAATTTTCAGAAATCTTCTTCAAGACTTGCCCCATCCAGCATCACAGTGCTTACTTTCCTTACCTCTTGGGAAATCAGATTCAAAACTTCAATTTTGCCAGTGTTTCACAATGACATAAAGGGTTTGCATAAGAATTTCAGAGTGCTCAGACAGAATCTGCAATAGCTGTGGGACAGATTCTACTCTAATCTACATTCAGGCAATCCCAGACCAAAAACACAATTCAAAGTTTCTTGTATCTTCCCTATTCAAAACTGAAAATTCAACAGCAATGCTAGCTTTACTTAGTTCAATTCTACCAAGTGATAAGGTTTTAATGAATTAAATTGACTTTAGTAGATATAGAATACATTCAAAATTAAACTCTAAGTCTGGTGTTAAAAACATTTGATGCTGCTATGAAATAAAAAAAAAACCCTTCTGACACTGACAGAGCACAAACTACAGGATTAATAATTTTGCTTACAATCTTTTTTCCTAACAGAGTTGAAATAAACATTACAACCAAACTGTGGTTTTGCAGACTGGTAATCTCTACCCAGTTCTGGATCAGAATTTTAACCCCAAGCAGGGAAGCAAACTTTAATATAAAAGTTGTACTCATGACCTTCAGCATACTGACCTCTACAATGTCATCATCAAACAAGAGCCAAAATCCATGACTTTTCACAATAGTAATGTAATGCCCCCGATTAGGTCCACTAGAAAGCAAAACAAAAACCCAAAATATTAGAATGTACTAATGAGTCCATTTTGATAAGTCACATTTCTTTATGAATGCAGAATTATACCTAAATATTATGACAAACATAATAAAATTCACCTGTGGAGGTACTCTAGACACTTAGTCCTTTCCCTTTTTATTTTAACTTGTTGCAAAGCTAATCAACTGAAGATAAAGGTGTTATTTTCATCTGTGCCAAGACCATTTAGTGAATTATCCTACAGAACACTTAACATGTTGCTCATGGTAGGCATCAAATACATTTAAAACTGTAAGAACTAAGTATAGGGGGGAAAATTGACCAAAATGATCTGTTGTGAGACCTACATGATGACAGCCTTTGGCCCTCACAGAGTCCTGGCTCCCAACTTTTTTAAGGGGTCTTATGAGGAAGGAGGTAGTTTCATCAGTTTAAACCAAACTTGTGACTTTTGGAGACCTGAGACATTATTTCTTAAGCAAGCACTGATTTACTATGAGGGATGTTGGTTCAATGGTCCAGCCCAAGACACGTGCCAGTCCGTGCAGCAGCAGGCTTTAAGTCCTGCCTCCCATCCTCCCCACATTTTGTCAGGGACAGCTCATCCCTGGGCAAACACCTGCCAGTAGCTTTGATACACATGAAGGCACCTTACCTTCCACAGTGAACCACAACAGCGACCAGGTCGTACATGCGATCCAAGTTGACGGCATCGCCGGAGGTGTTGAAGAGACGCAGCTCCAGAGGAAACACGACCCGGTAAGACAGCTTCGTGTACCTGTGCAGCTGCTCCATGTACTTGAACCTCTTGAGGTGTAAGGCAAGAATCATTGGCAGTTTTTTCACTCTCATCCTGAGAAACCATTAAGAACGCATATGATGAACACCTGACCAGTTCAAAGCCATTCTCTCTTCCCTTAATGAGCAAATGGCTGCATTGTAAAAGCACTTTGCAAGTAAGAGTAGTCAACTAGAAGTAGCTTCTAGACTACAACATGCCTTCAAATCTGTCTGCATCTTCTCTTGTCTACACAGAGAATGTGTTTGGGATGAAAGGTTTCTAGGTATTTAAACAAAATAGTTATCAAGGAGCAAGTTTGCCAGAACCCAAGAGGAGCATGGTGAAGCAGCCTGCTCTTTGCTTACCTCTTCTGTGCCTCTTGTTTACTGCAGCAAGTTTCACAGTAGTATTTCTGTTCACTACATAATGTCTCTGTGTTACTGAAGTCTCTGTAAAGAAATACAATCATCAGTTCTTTAAGGGTATGAATACATTTGCTCCACTTGAGCTGATGAACCAGAACCAAAAAGACACACAGGATGAAAGCTTCACCCATTCCACTTTTCTAAAGCACCTGAAGTGACTGTACTGGAGTTTGCAAATGGAAATAGGGTATCTGGCTGATATAACAAGTTGTATTAGGAGCTGAGGTCCTCTATATGATACAAATGAAAGGTCAGGTGTCTCAAAATGGGACCTCTGTCTGGTCTCTCACATAAAGGGGCTGCACAGACTTGGGTATAATCACTCAATCCATTCTGTTTCTTTTTAAATTATTTGCAGAATAAAGCAACTTTAAGTGCACTTCTGCCATCCCCAAGTATCTTATGTTTTATAGTGTTCTTCCATAAGAAAGGTTTGAATCCTCTTGCAAAGAAGAAATAAATTGAACTTAGTTTCCTGCATCCTCTAACCTTTTGGACAGTCATCTAGAAGTTTTTAGATTATACTTTTCCATTTTCTAAAAAAGGAAAGAAGCAGCTGGTATAGAAAATTTTGTAAATCCCGATCCAGTAAATACACTTGGAGATATTTCTGGATTGAGCTTTTAAAGTGACAAAGACAGTGGAAGGTTGGTTTGATAGCATCTCTCAGTTCACAGAAAAGATTTGCTGGAAGTCACAGTGCTGATACGCTTTGGAGCAAAATTTTAGATACCTAACACAACTGTAAAAAAACCCCAAAAACCAGTAATTATTTTTGTCATCTCTTGTGTTACATTGCAGCTGAACTGTGAATGCAGATATAAGCACCTATCTTCCATTTTAAACACATGGGTTTTCCTGTGACTTTGGGCCTTAAATAGCTATATCAGAATTCCAGAAGTGTCTTATTGAGTGCCCCTACCTTGTGCCTGACAGGCTTCTGAACTCCAGGCAAACTCAGACCCATTCAGACCAAATAAATTCACTTCTACCACTGCAATTCACATTCACATGGAGGCTGAATCCACACTGTCTGCAACTTCAGCTTGCTCTCACAGTAGGCAGCACCAGAATAGTCTTACAAGGCAAAGGGAGGATTCTGACATCATCACTAGAGGGGTAGGTGGGAGAAATAAAGACTACATAGTTTGCTAGGGCATAGATATTAGAAGTTAATTACATAACTTCATGGAAGTTTAAGGTTGATGGAGCATGACGAAGAAGCACTTCATATGACTGCATAATATTTTTAATAACTGTGAATACTCTTACTGAATTATTTTCTTTATAAGGTCTTAACACTGAGGAGAAAGTACTGGAATTTAGGAAAAAGTACATATTTTGAAAGATAAGTTATAGCTAAACTTTGATCATAAGTATTAATTTTTATCTAAAAGAAAATAAAACGTTACTAGGAAGGATTTGCTGCAGTGGTAAACACTGATCTCAACATGTGATTTTACATTTGAATTTAAACATTAAATTAATTTAATTCAGCCAATTCCTCTGAAAAGCACAGTAGCCTTTCAGGGAATCATAAGTGAAGAGTTGAAACTTTAGAAAATATTAAAGATGAGTTATATGTGCAGAGAATGTAAGACTCAGCAGAATGTGCCTGTGAAAGTTTTAGGTTGGCTGTTAGAGGAAGAGTCTGGTATTTATTTTCAAAGCCTACAGTCTCAATTTTTAAAAAAGCAAGCAAATTTGGGGAATTTATTAGTTTTCTTCTCATCTCAAAGTGAAGCAAGGAAAAATGTTTTTCTAACACAAAGAAACATGTGCAGATGGTAGAAATTTGATAGATATTGGTTTGTTCTATTCCAAGTCTCCCATAAAAGTTAATTAAACTCAAAGAGTTTCTGAATTCCTTTTAAAATATACTAGTTATTCTGATGTTATTAATATCTATTATTAGTATTATTTATTATTAGTAGTAGTATTTATTTATTTATTAGTAACATTGTGGTATCTATTCTTGGTAGTATTAGAAAAAATGTCTCACTGAAAAAATGGTTAGGATTGAAATAATTTCAACTTCAGTAACTCTTTCAGCAATTGAGCATTTTCAGCATGGCACTTCTAATAGATGTTGAACAGTTAAAAACAACAGATCACTGACTGGAGTTCCCAAAGTCTGTATGTGCAAGTGCTACAGCCTTGCAGAACTCTTCTGCAGACCTGCAAAGCTAGTTTCAAGATATGTCTAACTCTCTCCTTTAGTAGCCCAATCTACATTCTGCTTATATGTGATTTTAGCAAGAAAAAAATTTTTAAATATACTTGCCCAAGATATGCTAACTTATCATTGACATTGTGCTTCTACAGCCTCTCTGCTGCAGTGTGAAAGATGCTTTCTATTGCTTATATGCATAAATAGTATTAATTTTGTAATTGATTTTAAGAGATGAGAGAATTATTAGTGTAATAGAAATTATTACACAAGTGAGGATCAAACTGACTGATAAACATTGTAACTCCAAGTGGAAATAAAAACAACGGATATATACTATATTTGTTATAAGACTTTCATTGCTTCAGGCCTGGCTATCTATCCTGGGGGTTTAGACTATGCCAGAGGTTTGTATTCTTTCTGCTTTTAGGACATTTTGAGCACACAAGTACTTTTTACATTTTTAAAAACTACAGAAATAAAAGAACAGTCATCTGTAGTAGTAAAGAGATTCATTATACTTAAATGTTATCTTGCACAGCTTTTCTGTATTTTACCTTTTAAATGCAGCAGACATTAAAGCCATTAAGACACAGCAAAGCATTTGTTAAAAAAAAATGAAACAGCAAAGATTCCAAAAAGAGTATTAACTTGGATGTTCCTATTGAAAGAAACCACAAAAGCACTTACATTTTGTGTAAAAATGCATAATACCAGCAGCAATGAGAGGGAATCCACAATCTAAAAGAATATATGTTTTCTAAACAGAGGTAGAAATGTTGCTAACATAAAACACAATAGAAGAGATGAGAGGTGATAACTCTCCTCCTGTTCAATCTGTACCATCCCAAGAAAAGAAAAATCAGGATTTTGCTTTCCTTTATTTCCAAAAGGAGCAATAGGTAAACTTCAAAATGCATGTCATGCTGTTGGAGTAAAGGCACTACACTGGAATGCAAAAAGACTTAGGGCATTCATTCTTCTCAGGATTGTATTGATCTCTCTTGGAATATGATGTCCTGTTCTAGACAGTGGCACGTCAAGAAAGACAGAGTTCAAGAGAGAGGTCCAATAGGAGAGAAGGCTGAAGAGCAATGAACATGTGTAGAGATCCAGAGAAGATAGCCTAAGAAGGAGAAGTTGAATGACCTTAGGCTGTTTAAATTTTTTAAAAAGTGATTACATTCTTGTATGTAAAAGGCTACTGTGAAGGGGAATGGGGGCAACCCCTGGCTTATGAGTACAGTTCACAGGGCAAGTAGAAATAGGCTTGAACTGAAACACCAAAGATTCATATTACACAGCAGGAAAAACTTATTAGTACTAAAGAACAGGAAGGACTGGGAGATAGACAATCAAGACAATACTGCTAAAAAGATCTTCTGGAACAGGTTGGATAAGCATCCTCTCTGACATGAAGGTAGGGGATAACCTCTTTGGAGTCACTTTCAACTCCACCATTCACTTGTTGGTTGCAGTTGTGCAGATGCAGTTCTTGCATATCTTAAGCTACAGCCACTGCCTGTTGAGTAGAAGAAATGCTATTGGTATTTTTACTGAAGTACTTACTCTGCCTTTACATAACATGGCCATTCCCAACAAAACATTTCCAAGAAGATCAAGAATGTAAATAAAAAACTGGAGCAAGCTGAAGGACAGATGGTAACATGTATACACAGCAGTTTTTAACATGTTCACCAGTCTCAGCTGTAAGAAAATGTCAGAGCTCAGTCTCCAGTACCGCAGAACCAAACAACCCAGATTAGAAAGGGCCTCCAAAGGCACTGCAGCACCCTTGCAGCTCGCTGGGATTTCAAACTGCCTTTGAACAACATAGGGAAAGGTAAGTAATACGGGCAAGTTCAGGGTGGTGGCTACAGTGAAGAACTCAAAAGTGTGCAAACAAAAGCCTGTAATACCTATAATGACTCAACTGCTGGTCACTATGAAGAGGCAAAGAGACTACAGGAGAAAAAAAGAACACACTGCCCTCCAAAGCCCCTCTTCGGTTTGCTCACCTATTCCAGGGAGGCTAATTAATGCATTGCGGACTACTTGAGGACTGCTACAGTATCCTAAGGGAGACTGAACAGAAACTAAGTAGGAAAGAACTTTAAATTATAACAGAAGCTACTTAGTACAGTTGTTGTATGCACAGAGAAGTCACTGCTTGCTGATTCAGGAAATAGTACCGCAATTTCTTTCTGTTTCTTAACTCTCACCTTGGGATCACACACCAGGAAACTCCTCCTAGGCATTCCAGAATAACTGAATAATGCAATTTCAACCTTGATAGCAATTTTGAAGGAGTTTGACCAACTGATAATCATTACCTTAGAAAAGCAATACATTGTCTTAAATATAGGCAGTGGTTTATTTTATCAATGTCAAAACATTTTAAATCTCTCAGAATAATCACTCATGTAAGACTGAAAATTTTTTTTGATGTCTAGATTTTTTAAGTTAGGAATATATTAGGAGCAGAACAGAAATTTAGAGTAAAAGGCTTCACATAATTTTAGGGTGAGGCACAGAATAAGCTATTTCTGATAATAAAATAGACTTTTGAAATATTTTGCCCTCTATGGACACTAGCACTCATTCTGCAAAACACACACTTAACTTTTAATATGCATATAAATCCTAATCAACAAAGCGCTTGTGTAGAAGCTTAAAGGCAAGCACATTTAAATCTCTTTGAAGCCAATTATAATTCTGCAGCAATTCTTCCAGACAACAAAGCAATCTATTATTTTCCCTGAAAGTTGATTTATTTTCCTCTTTCAAATACACACATTGAAAGAGAAAGTGACTAAAGCAAAGTACATTAATGTATATTTTATCATTAGAGGAAACATCCAGTTTAAAGTCTTTTTCTTCTGCTTAGGGTAAGTTCAAATCTAAATGTTATTGTACTTTTCAATACCTACTAGACCTGAAAAATCTACCAGTTAGAGCTATCTGCTGAAAAGATGAATTCATTTACCTTAGACAGTGTGTAATCGATGTGTTCTGCTCCACATCAACAGAAAGGTCAAGAAAATCTTCATCTTTGCTACTAACCTGTTGCAAAACACATACATGTAAAACAGAGATGCCATACCTTTAAATGCTGTTTATATCTTTAGCAAATGCTAAAGATGTTTATTTCTGTAAAAATTGCTCTTACATAAAAATAATTCATTTCAATGCTTTATTTTTTTAGTTCAGTGTGATATTTATTAGTAATTCTACCAATCCAGCTTTCATATAATTTAACTTCTGTCTATTCCACTTATCCAATCCACCAACCATGGGCCATCAATGACAGCCTGTTCAGTAAAGGTGAACCATCCTCCCCTATATTATCTGGGATTGGTGCATTATGCATGTTTCCTTGCTATGTAACACAGTCTACTTTCTTTTATTGTCAGAAATTTTTTTACCCTTTGTATAACATATTGCAATATAAATGCACAACTTATTTTTACATAATTATTTCCACTATTAAGGATGCAATGAAAATAATTTCCAAACATGTTTCTGTCACAAAAGTCATACTTTACCATGTTATCCTTTCTGTCTAGTGAGTATTGAAAAGTGTGGGTTTATACTTCTGGTTGACACAGCTACATTTCCCCATTGGATATTGTTCTTGATCAATATTTTGATCAAAATATTTAAAATATTAAAGGTAAAAATGGCTCAGTGATAATATTTTGAAAAATCATTTTGGTGTTGCCAATCTTTTTTTAGACAGAACAAGAAAAGAAAAGAAAATTTATAATGAAGTTTTTATCTAAAAAATTTAAGTCCAAATATTTTCAGAATGACAGATCCTTATTTTTGCATTGAAAATTATTTTCCACTAAGAGTGTTTAATCTCAAAGGTGAAGTAACATCAACAAAAAAAAAAAAAAATCCAAATGGCTAATTCTTGTAATACTCCAACTGAGTCAAAAGACTGCAGAATTACTTACTGCACATGAATTCAGTCATATTCAGAACAATATTTTTATAAAATGCTGCATGAACACCCCATGTTTTTGCATCCTATTGCATTTCCTTAGAATAACTAAATCAGATGGGAGAATAGCAAAGTCCAAATCAAGAACTTCTGTGAGGAAATGAATCCACTGGTCTGGCAGAAGTCCCTCATGCTCAGATTTTTGGAGTGCTGTGGATGTAATAGTTATGTACCACCTTGAGTTCATATTTGTGTTATGTCAGGGATACTATAAGCTTGGTGAATGCAGCCCATATCAGATCTGAATACAGGGAAACACCTTTGGCTGGATTGATTTTGATATCATCAAAGATGTACAGAGGAATAATGCACACCCAACTGAAATGAACTGCAGTTCTTCAAACAAAAATCCTCCCTGAGACATGACTTGACCCACAGAGGACAGGAAACCACAAAACCAGCAGCAATTGACTGCAGTATAAATATACAGCTAAAATTTGAAAGATAAAGCAACAAAGCTTCAGAGAACATTGTGTCTCTACAGCTGGAACTAGAGTTCTGTCAGACACACTGAGTATCATGAGAACTTAAACACTTGAAAAAGTCCTTGGCGGGCATTGTGCTTCATCTGAATGCCTCAAAGAAGCCAGGAATTCTGTTATTGATTTCTGCACATCAAATATTTCCTGGGAGGGAAGATGAGCTACTTAGAGCTAAAATAATACAGATTAAAACTAAAGGTAGCTGGTAAACCATTCAAACTGCACTCTTTGTAAATGAGAATAAGAACTGCTGAAATCTGAATGATTCTTCAGGTACTACTTATGAATATTTTAGCAAAGGAAAACTTTTAATCTGTTTTACTATTTTCCTAAGATTTCAAGTTACACTAATCCAAGGAAAACACATTGGAAAAATATCCTGAGTAGTATACAGTATTTCTATACTCAGAGGAAGCTGCAGACAAGCTACATTTTCCATAAAGCTTCATCACTTTGAACTACAAGTATGGAATTGTGCAGTTATGCTGTTACCCAAGTATACATTGTCGTTTCACCAGTTTCTCCAAGTAAACATTAGATATTGATTTAGAATTAGGCCACAACTATTTAGAGAAGCTTGTCAGTTAAAAAATTCTAATCTTTCACTTATTTTAACTTGCTATTATCCAAGGTTTTATAACTGAAATAGGTTAAATAATTAATTTTCAGTATCTCTCTCATGTGTTCACTTATACAAGCTTGTTCCAAACTTGCTCCAACATCTTATGTTGACTATCATTATATCTCTTCTCACCATCTTCCTCTGACCACGTTCCTGGAAAAGCCATACACATTTTCTTGGAATACAGAGCTATTCTTTATGATTAGAAATATCAGACCATGTTCTTTCACTCATCTGGTAGGACATGGTAGAGTTCATCTCACCAAATTTCAGTTGTCTAAACCTCAGCTTGCTGTCTGAAGATACCTTCTCTGGGTACCTTCTCCCATCTTAATGCAGCTAATCTAAAGTTGTGTTTTCTTTGAGGAAGCCCATAGTAGCAGTACTGATCTTAGTAAAAGTACATCGTTCTTAGGCCAGAGCAGTTTGTTGGCCCAGTTCTCAGCATTGCTGCACCAACAACTGCAGCAGCTTAGTAACACCATGGAGGCAGGACAAGCTGTAAGGAACAAAACACCGGATACTGCTAAAAACTTTGTTTCATGAAACAGCCTAGAGACAGATGGAGTTTTCTGTAAAAGCTCTTTCACAATCTCCATCATCTGCAGGAGTTGAGATAACTGGCTCCTCCTTGATGCCTATCAGCTTTGCTTTACCAAGCAAAGGTTAGGTGATATTAATTCCAACCTTTGTGGAAGGTCAGTGTCAGTGCTCTCCCCAAAGATTTTTTTTTCCTGTCTGTGTTACTCTTTCATGCAACCTCACAGGAACAATTTCAAAAAATTATTTCTTTTCTCTTTCAATAGGAGCATGTGTTTGAAAAATACAGTAATCAATAGGAGACTTGCAATCAGGTTTCCCGACAAAAAATAGTTTTTACTTATAGAACAGACATAAGAGATTTCAAACTGACACCATCCTTTAGAAAATACTAGGGAGAAAAAAGAAAACAGTTTGTTAAAAATGAACCCTCTGTATACCTGTCAGACTCTTAAAATGGAATTAACATAAATAATCTTAATGTTTCACTTATTTTATGAATATGATGTGAATAACTTCTCTCACAATTACAGTGATAAGGAAAGGTACTGATTCACTAGCAAGGATTTTAACTGTAGACATATGTATTAGGACAGCAAAACTTGGCAGGGATTTGCCAAGTAATGCTTAGAAAAATAAATTTTTAGAAAAGAATATACTCACTTCAAGAAGTAAATTCTACAGGAATATCCACAATTCTCAGATGTCTGAAAAGATTCATATATTTATATATACAAAATGTATCTATCTATTAATGGGCAAAAACAACAAAAAAATCTATCCCAATGCTTACGGTTTCACAGTTCAAACATCTAGTTTCGTTAGTCAGTGTTCCCTGAAAAATCTCATGCACCCAGGTCAGTTCTTGTTTATTGTTCTCTTCAGCTTCATTCATGTTGCCATTTTTCAGTTTCCCATTTTGCTTTTCCTGTTTCTTCTCCTCCTGCAAAATGTCTGCAATGGTGTTGAGCAGGTAATTTAAAAACTCATGTGCATCCTGCTGCATGTAGTTGTCAAAGAGATCTGTGAAGAAGAGAGTCAAGATTTGTACAGCTGAATATCCTTTCCTCAAAGAAAGAAAATTATTTTTTTCCCCAAGTACTTGTACTGGCCCTTGCTCAGCAAAGTATTTGGAATCATTCCAAAGAACAGTTTTGCAGCCAGTCACCCTGGCTTCAGTGAAGTTACTTTGGGGGAAAGCTTCATCTCACCTAACTTTAGCTGTCTAGAAACTCCCATTACAGTCAATGAAGTAAGCAAGAGAGTGACTCATCCAAATTATTTCCTTACACTAGACACTGCCTAACTTCAGTCAGCACTGATTTCCATCCCCATATTCCAAGTCCCTCAGACACTTAGGAACGCCATGGAGTTTTGGCAGTAAGCCACATGGCTGGGAAAATTGAGGCCACTGCATGCTGACACACACTTGTGCTCTGTGTCTGGGATGGAGTTACCTTTCCTCACAGTAGCCCACAGGATGCTGTGCTTTGTAGGTGTGCCTAAAATGGTGGTGATGATGTACCAGTGTTTCAGCTGATGCTGAGCAGCACTCACACAGCATTAAGGCTGTCCCTCATCCTGCCTAAAGGCTGATAGACTGGGTGTGGAAGAGGCTGGGAAGGGAACACAGGTGAGGCAGCTGACCCAAACTGGCCAAAGTCATATTTTATGCCATGTGAAGTCATGTTTGTCACTAAAATCTAAGAGAAAGATGGGTGGGTTTTCATTATTAATAAATATCTCTTGCAAACAAACTTCTCCCCCTGCCCTGCTGAGATGAGGAGTGAGAGACAGGCTTGGTGGGCACCTGGCAGCCAGTCAAGGTTAACTCACTTCAAGTAGTAATAATAACACCACCTAACAAAGCTCATTTTTCACAAGCAAGTCTGATGGGAAAGGACTTGTCCTGTTCAATACGAATTGCTTGCAGTAAGAGGGGAAAATATCCCAGTGGTGATTTAGTACAGACTTCTCCAGTAAAGGCTTAACTCGCCCACCATGTCAAAGAAAAAAGAATGTGTGTTCCCAGAAATGTGTATTTTTATCCCCCTGCTCCTGAGAAAGTTCACATGGATTTCTTCAGAAAATATTGTACAGAAACGTTGGCTTTGTAGTGTCTAGCCTGGACATATAAGCAGGATAATACACACTGACTCTGGCACTAATTTAAAAAAGCTGAAAACATAAGATCCAGTCTTTACAAGTGATCCCCAACAGTGTGGGAGCATTTATCACTAGATGACTCAGAATAACTTTTTCATGATTTCAAATGTCTGCTCTGAAATGAACAGTCTGCCCCTTTATATGCTGTCACCAGGAAGCAATTTCTTCCAGGTGTTTGACTCATACTTTGTCTCTTCATTCAAAGCCTCTCTGTTTCTCAGCATACCATCCACAAGGATATGAATCCAGGCAAAACGCAGCTGTGACAGGCTTCTCTATCTCAAGATGTTCCTCATATCCCTTAGACAGTACTACAAGATTAGGCATATGCTATTGCCAACTTAATGGTCAAAAGGGGTCTGATGCTACACCAAGTAAGGCTGTGTCCACCACTTCCAAGAGCCAGAGCAGCAGCTGATGTGTAGTGGATCGACCACCCCACGTGTACCCAGCTCCTGATCCCCCAGGGTGTTCTGGAACTGGTGCTGCCTGCAGCCTTCCTAGGTCACATAGTTCCCATACTGCCAGCTGCTCCCCATGTTTCTCTCTGCTATACTGCACAAAAAAACAATTTAAAGATTACAGCAGTGTCACCCTATTTCCAGCCCTAGCTCACCCTACAGGAAGGTCTGCCCCACCACGCTGTGAAAGCATCACTAATTCTCACACACCTCTGGGAGTCTATGAAATCTGGTAAGGTTATTTCAAGCATAATATCATATACACAGATACTAAAATAATAATTCACCCCACAAAGTACTGAAAACAATTTACCAATTTAACCTGTGTTTCTGATTAATATGATCACATTGCTCAATACGTATTTGTACTTTGATCAATGCATGAATACCTTAGAGAACTTCAGTTTTACACTTACCATTCTCTTTCCGTAACCTTGATATGAACTTCTTTGGTGGAATAACTCCAACTTTTTTCTTCTGAGTAGCAATACTGTGGAAAAGATCTGCCAGGCAAGTCAAGAGGTTTTCCTTCTTTTTCTGTTGGGCCTTGTATGATAATACATTTTCCCGAAATGGCCGGCAAAAATACAATGCCTGCAGCACGGAGTTACAGTAGCAGGTGTTCCCAAACTGCCATGCAGAATTAAAAACAAGCTTAATCTCTGTGCATCACAACAAAACTAGCTGTTCATTCAAATTCTGACTCCTGTCACTGTCACAAACCAGCCGTTTTGCCATGTAGTTGCAGTAGAAATATATTTCCACACCCACCATGACACTTCATGGAAAAGACTATGGTGTTCTAAATTAACTAGGATACAAAGTAAAGGTTTCCACTTGTAAGAAAAATATTTTTTGTAGTGGATTTCATTAAATTTATTTCCATATCTGGGCTCTATCTTACTGCTCAGTAGCAGAATGAATAATGTTTTCAATGGAAAAAATTATTATATCATTTCTGTGGGAACAAACAAGTGATTAAACACTCTCCTCACTCATTTCTCCTTGGTCAAATAAAAAAGCTCCTCCTAAGAGTCTCCAATGCAGAATGCTGTACCTAAACTTGTACATACTTTCATCACTTCCTCCGTCCTATTTCACACCTAAAATAGCCTTTTAATTTTATTTAAGTGTATGTTCTAATCCCTGGAAATATTCATAGAACTGTTCTCTCTGGGGGTGTACGAAGCCATCTTCAAACATCTGATAGTTTTGCAACCCACTTTGCCTAAAATTGCAATATGAGCAGCACTTAAAAAAAAAAAGACAATCTTGCATTAGAATAAGATTGATAAGAGCAGGGAAGAGAGAAAAACAAAACAAAACCAAGGAACTGAGCAAATTTCAAGTAACATCAAAATTGACCACTTACATTGACCAATCCAAAGTAGTGCTCATTGATTGGAAACTGCTCTGGGCCAATGTCTTTTTCCAGAGCAGAGGCATTGGTGCCCTATATAAAGGAAAAAAAAAAAAAAAAGGAAAAAATATCAGAACCCAAACCAAACAACAACAAAACATTAAAAAAGAAGAAATCATATGGAATATTAAGATTCTAAAGTAAAATTATGGACAGTATCAAGACAGAAAATAATTAATTCCTTTTAGCTACGATTAGCCAAGCTAACTCTGTCTTACTGATAGGCAGGCACAACAGTGTCATGAGCCACTAAAAATATTTGCAAATCTGGATAGCTGAACTGGCCTGCCATGGATCCTCTGGTAATAGATGACTAGAAGTGAACAGGTCACAACAGTGATTCTTCCCTCACCCACCTCCCCTTTATTTTTACTGTGTACATGGTCATCTGGATCCCATTACTCTCTTGTCTCATAAAGACAGTGGCTGATCTTCAGTACAACCCTAAAAATCAGTTCCTAGATGGAAGGCAGGTTTTCTAAGCATTATTGAAACTCCTATGAATCCCTCTGAATTAAACATCAGCCTGTAACAATACTTGGGCTTCAGACTGGCACTCAGTTCTAGTAACATCACAGATGCTAAAAGCAAATGTAATATACCTGCCATTTTGTCCTACCTAACATTAAAGAGCACATAAATCCAAGCACTGTTAGATCTCTTAGTCAGTGCCCTAGTGTGGTAAGTTATGTTCAGCTGTATCTTCAACACCAAAGTTGTTTATGTAACTGCTGGTCTGTAAGTACAACCACTAATTTGGTATGTTACCTGTCATCTTGCTATATGAAAATGCCCATTTTTGAACAAGATTAAATTATTTAAAAAGTAAGGTAGGTTGCTGCCAAAGCAAATGTCATCACTCCTATACACATTATAAGCTTGGCTCCATCCTCTGACATCCTCACTTCAGATACTTAAAGAAGTTGATGAGTTCCTTTCTCAGACATCTCTTCTCAATGCTGAACAGGCCCAGCTCCCTCTCCACACTTCTTGAATTTGCCTATGAGGACATTGTGAGAGGCAGTGCCAAAAGCCTTGGTGAAGTCAAGGTAGACATTTGCTTAGACTTCTTCAGCTAAAATTTTCAAAGTAACCGGTAATCAGATTTAGAATTCTCATGTCCCTTCCCCATCTTCTCCCCAGGGCCTGGTTTCTGTTTCCTCACTGCCCCTACCATCACCACTGCTTGCCAAATTAGATTGTTATTTCATGCCAATTCATTAAAAGAAGATTTAGTCAAAAGAATTAGCAGTGTGAAACTCAGCATAGGTGCTCTTGAGAACTTGCCAGCCTTGAAAGCAAAACATCTCCTTTAAGCTGGCAGGTTCCAGAAAAGCTCCAAAAATTTAATATTTCACATCCCCTTCTCAGATCTTTTTCCATTCTCTCTCTTTCTCTCATATACACAGAGTTCATTGCTCAGACCATGTTACTTCCCAGGAAACCTTTGAGACTGAAGTACCTTACAAGCACAAGCCTTCATGAGAAACTTCATAAGGGATATATGTTCTCACCAGACTCTGCTAAGCCTTGATGAGAAACTTGGAAAGAAAGATTGATTAATACAAAGCAATTATTGGCTACCATTCAACAGAGATGACAGTGTGATAATTATGTAAGTCTCATACAAAGATTAGTTTCATTGCTTGGAAAGTCAGCCTTGCCAAAGATGCACATATTCAGCAAAGCATTCCAAGATGGAAAAAACTGATAAATATTTGCCTATCTGATATTAGCAGTGAAGCAAACAGCCACTGTTACCCTCAAAACCTTGTCTGATACAAGAGAATCATGACTACAGAAGATTAATGCATCTTCTGAGGAAAAACATCTTCATATTAATACTCATTGTACAGTGTTCAGATCAAAGCAAAGGTTTTCTTTGAATTCGCTTTGAACACTACAATTGAGTTCCCTGAAAGAAAAATGAAATGGGTGTTTGTCCAGTTTTGTAGGAAGTATTCTCCACACCGAAATAAATTCTCCCTCTACAGTTCATGGAAAATATTATCTCTAAAAAGTAACCTCCTACACTTTCATAAAACTACAGGTTAGTGTATATGATGCAAGTGCTCTGCTAACTAGTTGCTCCTACATTACTCATTTGCCTTTCCTCCAGGGCCAGGATTTCTTACTTCAGAGGATGCCAGATGGTTGGACAAACCCTTTCTTATAAATATTGTGAGAAAGAGCAAGAATCACGATTTACCAAACAAAATTATCACTGAAAACCAAACAAATTCATGATATATACTAACCAATCTTCATATAAAAACTCTCCATTGCATGGAAATTTCCAAAGTACCTGCTGTTGAAAAAAACCACATGCTTAGTAACATCTCATCATGGAGCTTTTTTACCTCTCCAGGTAAATCCAGGCCTTGGCTGTTGTAAATATCAAATAAAGTACAGTGTAACAGTGACAACAAAACAGTGAGGCTAAATTCAATCTTTGAGTAAATTCTCAGACTTCATTAGGAGTAGAGCCCTCTTGTATCAAAGGCAATTTCAGTCTGATTTTTATTTATTCTGAGGTCTCCAAAAAGTTACTCTTAAATCCATGGAAAAAGAAGTCTAGGAAAAGAGGCACAGAGACCTGATGCTTCAAAGAAGGATATATTCCTTATAAGGAGAAAAAACCTAGACAGGCCACTTGGTAAAACTCAAACCACGACACATTGCATATAAATTACTTGTTTTGCATATGAAGTCTCCACAATAAGCAGTTGACACGAGGACAGAAGAAGGAAATTTTTCCAAGAAATTATACTAGAAATTGTACACCCAACCCAGGTTTAAACTGGAAAAAATATATTATTAGAGATGTGTTAAAGGTGGTTCAGAATTCAGTTTAAATCAACCATATAAAATGGAAAACATAGTTAGTCTACTGATGTTAATCTATAGCAAACATCAGCCATGACTATTTTCCCAGCATGTTTGTGTTTGTTCTCACTCCCAGCAAGTAATTTTGATTACTTCTACAGTGAAAACCTGCTCAGACATTTTAAAGCAACCACTCTCTATTGTTTTATAAAAGCTTCAGCTAGGAGAAATATCCTTCCACAGCTGAATCTACTGTAGTTCCACCAAAATAAGCAGGAACAGCAGTGTAGCTAGAAATGAGCCTGAAATGAGGAGAGGCTGCATAAGTCATTGAAGTGGGATTTGGGAGTATTAAATAACGTCATATCAGAGCACAGAGACAGTAAAGGAGGCTGGCTCCTTCTTAAAAGAATACACTAGTGAAGGAAATGCAGTGCAGTGACTGTGGTATGCAGACCTTATGAGAGTGAGAACCAGGTCAATGTGGAAACTCCTACTTCGCATTCTGTGGTGTTGGAATCTTGATTTCTCAGTTTTACCACTTAATTCAACAATTAGCATTCAGCCCTCATAAAAAGACATACAGCTGGAGACATAGCCAAGCACAGGTCAACTCAGGCCAAGATTTTTGCCACAGCATGGCTCCAAAAACATTCAGCCCATATGACCTATATTTTTTCCTCTTGTTATTTTGTCCTGAACTGTCCAAAGAACAAGACTGCTGGTTTTCTTTTCCATTGAAATTTCTGAAAATGTTGCTAAGAGTTTCATTTGTGCTTTGGATCACATGAAACAGATTAGATAAAAAAACCCCTGCTGTTCCTTTACACTTTAGCATATATTAAAATAAACCTTCAGGATAAAAAAGAAGTCATCAGATTAGTTCATTAAATCACATGTAGAAAAGTAATCTAAATACAATTATTCTATGGAGGATGAGGAATGGACAGGAGCCAAAATGAAAGAGTGCCAACAGAAGACAGCAAAGCAGAATAAACTTCGTGCTGTGACAGATATAAAAATGGCACTAACTTTCTAGAAATATACATGTGTTTAATTTAAAGTAAAAGAATGCAGTAAAGAAATTGGGACCCTTCATAAGCCACCTACCAGTTGGTATTACTAAATGAACAGAAACACTGTATGAAAATAAAAAAATAATTAAATTTTTTCTTGGTACTGAAAAATATGTCTGTACAAAGACCAAAAAACAGAAATAAGAAGAAATGTCTTGTTCACAAGAAAATCTAAAAAATCTAACAGAAAAACACATTAAAATTGTATAATTAAAACAGAAACTTAAATACACAAAGAGCAAGAGATAATGAAGGAAGATGGCTGGTCCATGACAAAGGGTTTCAGATCATATACATTTATAGAATAGATTTCTTTTTCTTAGTATTCAGGGAAAGTGAGAGCAACATGATAATTTCCTGAAGGAGGAAACTGAAGACTTAAGACAAACTAACGGTGATGTTTGGGCTGGTAGAAGAAAAATTAGAGTAAAAATAGAAATGGCTTCAGGGCTAGGCAGCCTGAGTTTAAGGATTTTGGAAGGCACAGCACATGGAAGGGAAGGAAAAAGGAAAATAAAGAAAGATGGAGAAGGCCTCCTGGCCAACAAATGGCAGTGATGGATAACTCAAAAGAGAGGAGGCAACTGTAAAATCCTGAAATTAGCTCCCAGAAGCAAGACAAAGAATCAAGAGTGAAAGGAGAACTAGCAATAGCACAGCATGCAGCATAGATGCAGCTGTTTTCAAAGACACATCACCTGTCCCCAGTGCTGGACTTTGGCTATCCTCAGGAACAATCTCAGCTTTCAGAGAGATATGGTGAGTAACTGAAATAGCTGAAGCAGCCTTCTTAAAAACTCATTGATATTAAATGCCAAATGTGGAGCCTTTCTGTAATTTTTTAAAGTGTAAGTCCTACAAGATGGTTGAGTTTAACCAAATTAGTTCTCTCTTCATTCTGTGAGGAAATGCTTTTTGTTCCTCCAGCAAAGCTATTTTTGCCACAAGAAGAAAGAGGAAAGAGATGATTCTATGAAAACACAGAGGGGATCATAGTAAACAGCAAAAGAACCTTGCCTGACTGAAAAAAACACTGTGTATTCAAATTGTTTTAGGAAAGATGATTTATCAAAATATATCCAAATAAATTATTTTTGCGTGTTTTTCCCAAAGAGTCTCCTGATCATCAAA